GTGTGTGTGTGTGTGTGTGTGTGTGTGTGTGTGTGCATGTGTGTAAAACGTGCTTGGGGAGGTATCAAGGTGTCACCCATTGGGAATACAGTGTGTGGTTGCTGATATGATCTGAAAGCGCCCATCTGCTCAGACTTTTACAAAGGGACCCCAGACTTTAGAAAGGGGTCAGGGAGAGGGATGGGCATGCCCACCAGCTTCTGAGCCCTCAGAGCTGATGGTAAGAATGGCACTTGGGACACAGCATGGAGTTTGCAAGCCAGGCAGATCTGAGCCAGGTGCCTGGTATGAACTTCTCTCTTCTCTCCTCTCCCCCCTCTTCCCTCTTCTCTGTCTACCCTCCCACCCCCTCCCTTCATCGTATCCTCCACCCCCCTGTTGACATGCAAGACACACAGTGAACACTTCAGCTACTTACAGTGAAATACGGGATGCTTTGCATTGTGTTCAGTGTATAACCATCTGTAAGGAGTACGGTTTTTCCTCCCGCCGCTGGTCTGGTCCCTCCACCACCACGCCAGCCCCAATTAACACACAGACTCTGTATTTGATACAATGCTGTCGGCCCGCTACTAGTTTCTTATCGGCTAGCTCTGTCTTAAGTATTAACCCATTTCTAGGTATTTCTATGTGGTCTTACCGAGAACGGAGGAATGGCGGTTCCGTTCTCTCCAGACTCTCCATCTTGACTCCTCCTTCCTACTTCCTCTTTCCCCCTTGTCTCCTAGTCCCTCCTATCTTCCTTTCCTGTTGGCCAACAGTGCTTTATTCATTAACCAGTATGAGAAACATATACAGAATGAAATCTCCCATCAGCCATCACCTTGCCCATTCTAGAACATCCTTGCTACCTTCCAAAGAAATTCCACAGCTGTTTTGAACAAGGCCCCCTATGTAGACTAGGCTGGCCTTGAACTTGTGATTCTCAGTACCATAGCCCCTCAAGCACAGGGATTATAGGTGTGTACCGCCTGGCCCAGAGAAACCCCATTCTACTCAGCTGTGATCTCTGCAGCCCTACCCCTTCCCCCTTCCTGAAACATCGCCTAGTCTGTGTTCTATCCCTAGGACTTGCCTACTCTGGACATTTCTATGTAAGGTGCCAAGTGCTCTGTGGCCCGGGTTTGGCACCTGCCCCAGCAGACCTACGGGGGCCCTCGGGTTCTTCAAGGCATGAGACTGGTGTGTGCTGGACGGGACTCAAGCTACATAGATGATGCCTGTTCTCACTTGATCTTAGACACATGGTGGGGGAAAGCATTTGGTGTAAATGGGACCCGAACCATGACCTGTCTCTCTGAGCCACAGTGGGATACCCCAGCATCCTATTCATTATAGTAAATTCCATGTGGGCTGGGAAGAGGGCTGCATGGGTGAAGTGCTTGCTGCACAACAGTGAGCATCTGAGTTCGCATCCCCAGCAGCCTTGAAGGAAGCCAGGTGTGGTGGTATATACATCTGCAGCCTCAGAGCTCAGGAGGTAGAGGCAGGAGGTTCGCTGGAATGTGCAAGGCCGCCAGACTAGCTACAATCAGTAGGAGACTCTTGTGGTGGTTTGAGTGTAATTGGCCCTGTCAGCTCATAGGGAATGGCACTGTTAGGAGGTGTGGCCTGTTGGAGGCAGTGTGTCACTGTTGGGGTGGGCTTTGAGGTCTCACATGCTCAAGTCTCACTTTGTATCAGCTCACTTCCTGTTGCCCATGGACAAGATGTAGGTCCTTCTCTACGCTCCTTCTCCAGCACCGTGTCTGCCTGCTCGCCACCATGTCCCACTGTGATGACAACGGACTAAGCCTCTGAAGCCATAAGCCACCCCAATAAAAGTACGTCCTTTGCAAGAGGCTGTGCTCATGGTGTCTCTTCACAGCAATAGAAATCCCAATTGAGCCAGCTCTGTTCCCTGGAGTTCTCTGGGCAGCCAGAGTAGCCTTGAACACTGAGAGACTCTGTCTCAAAAATAAATAATGAATAAAAAATGAAAGAAAAAAAGAAAGGAAGGAAGGAAGAAAAGAGGTAGAAACTGACTGAAGAAGATCATATCAACCCCTGGCCTGGCATGTTCCAATGTGTGTGTGTTTGTGTGTGTGTGTGTGTGTGTGTGTGTGTACATGCACGCCCTACACACATAGAAATGGACCAGTCTGTGTGTGCACAAACATGAACCCCTGTGGTGATATACTGTTTATGATCTAATAAAGCCACCGGGGATCAAAATGCAAAGCTAGTCATAGCCATAGAGGCCAGGCGGTGGTGGTGCACACCTTTAATCCCAGGACTCAGGAGACAGAGTTAGGTGGATCTCTGTGAGCCCAAGACCACCCTAGGCTACAGAGAGTGAATCAGCCAAAAAGAATAACAGAGCTCAGGCCTTTAATCCCAGCACCACGGAGATATAAAAGGAAGAAACAAAGGGTCTCATAGGAGATTTAATTTCCAGACAGGAGTAGCATTGCCTCTGAGGATTCTTGAAGACAGGATTGCCATTTCAGCTTGGTAGAGGTTAAGAGCTGGCTGCTTTGCTTTTCTGACCTTCAGCTTGAACCCCAAAATCTGTCTCTGGGTTTTATAATTTGTGTTACACACTCCCTACACACACATACAATTGGACCAGTCTCTCCCTCTCCATCTCTTTCTTCTCTCTGTCTCTCTCTCTCTGTGTTGTGTACATGCACCTCTTCCCCCACAGACACACAAATGGACCAGTCTCTCCCTCTCCATCTCTGTCTGTCTGTGTGTGTGTGTGTGTGTGTCTGTGCGTGTGTGTGTCAGTGTGTGTGTGTGTGTCTGTGTGTGTGTCTGTGTGTGTGTCTCTGTGTGTGTCTCTGTGTGTGTCTGTGTGTGTGTCTGTGTGTGTGTGTGTCTGTGTGTGTGTCTGTGTGTGTGTGTCTGTGTGTGTGTCTGTGTGTGTGTCTGTGTGTGTCTGTGTGTGTGTGTGTCTGTGTGTGTGTCTGTGTGTGTGTCTGTGTGTGTGTGTGTGTGTGTGTCTGTGTGTGTGTGTGTGTGTCCGTGTGGTGTGTGAGTGTGTGTGTGAGTGTGTGTCTGTGTGTGTGTGCGTGTGTGTCACAGACACACAAATGGACCAGTCTTACCCATGTGGTGCACCTTTCTGTCTTGACACAGATGGAAGCAGTAGATGTCCATGCTTGTCCTGGTTTTGGAAGGGCTGGGCTCTGTGTGGGAGTTTACTTACAACAGCTCCTAGGACCACAGTGAGGTAGGGCATGATCCCCATTGAATGGGTGAGAAAATAGCTCAGAGAGAGGAAAGGGAGGAAACCCCAGTCCTTCTGTGTGTGCTTGACAAGGCTTGCATGGGCTTAAACTAACTTCTCTCCTCCCTCCTTTCCTCTTTCCCTCCCTCCTTCCCTCCCTCCCTCCTTTCTTTCCTCCATCTTTCTGACATACTCTGGCCTTGACCATTCAGCAACCCTCCTATGAGTGCTGAAATGACAGCCATCCCTCAAGGATATGAACTTGAATTTTCCAACCTTCCCTGGGCCATGTAGGCTTAATGACAATTGCATTAGTTACTCCAAGCTCAGAACCCAGCCACCTGCCACTCAGATTCCCCAGAAATGGGCTGGCCAAGGGGGTATGAAGAATAGGCAGGTCTGAGGAGAGACCCCTCTGAGGCAGGGCTGTCATTTGAGGGCAGATGGGGGAGGGACTCTGCACACTTTTTGATGAACTAAATGTCTTGGAAGGAGTAGGTGATTAATCCTTTTACAATGTGCTGGCCAATTCTGCTGTTGCAGGGGTTTTTGCTGAGCGATCGATCGGCTGCATCTAAACAGACTTCAGAGATGCAAAGTAAGTTCAGTGAGCCACCTTGCAGAGGACACCCTCGGCCCAGGACCAGGGCCATGTGCCTATGGCCTGTGCCTTTCAAGCTGGGGCTTCTCTGGGTGGAAGGTGGAAATCCTCCAAGAGATATTTATGTCCTGCAGCCTTCAGGAAGGGTCCACAAGGAAAGGGAGAGATAGGAAGGAAGTTCCTGACTACAAGCCTTATCCAAAATGCAGAGGGGTTCTTGTGTCTTATGCTGTGTTCTAGATTCTGATCCTTGTCCCTCCAAGGAAAAGGGTAATGTGGGCCCTAGAAGCAGAATGACTTGCTTGGGATCCAGTAAAGAATAAACGGGGATCCAGGACTGAAACCAAGAGCTGAGATTGAAGTGCAGGGTTTGTCCAGGATGAAGCAGGATGCAGGACCTGAGGGTTGAGGGTGTCCTGCTGTGAGCTGGTCTGTAAGTTCAGTCACAACCTGAGCTGCAGAGCTGCTGGGAACTTGCAGCTGGGTTTGGTGGATGTGCACAAGCCCTTATTCAATAAATGTGCTAGCTATCCCGAGGCTAGAGATAGTGTGACTTGTTAAGTGACAGGCTGCAGTCTGGAGATGGTGGCGGGAGAAGGGGGGGCAAAGCTCCAGTCCCCCCCCAGCCCTGCCTCAGGGGTGGGGGGACTGGGGAGGCCTGGGCAGGATTGGGGTGGGATCTGGAGTCTCCTTTTGAAGGCTTTTGTGGTAAGCACCATCCCCAACTTTGGAAGCAGCGAGGGGTGGTAGAGACACTGAAGCTTCCAAGTTGGCGGAGACAAAGCTGTCACAGCCCCAGCTAACCCTAATTACCAAGCATCACCTCTGGGTGTACTGTCACCCCTTGGGCAATTTGGACAGTGCACAACTGACGACCAAGGCATCTGCAGTCACAACCCAAGAGCCCCACTTGGCCTGGGCCGGATGGCGGGTCGGGACAGTCCTTGGGCCCAGGGCAGGGGTGCTGTGAGGGAGCCTCAGAGCTGGCAGTGACCTGCTCTTCTCCTCTCCAGGGTAAAGACAGGATCTTTCTGAGACCTTGCTCGCCTCCGCCAGTTTCATGAATGCCCAAATGGAAGAGATGACAGATGGTCACTCCAGCAGCTTCATCCAGCCCTGGGGTGTCCTGGAGAGCAGCCACCCAGAGATGAAGGGTGCTGACTGAGAGACAGTGCCTTCCTGTCACACCTGAAATGTCACCCAGTGCAGGCACCAGTTGTGCAAGTCTGGTGTGCCAGGCCGTGTGGCACAGATAAGGGAGGACCACAGGCAGGGCTCGGCCACCATGAGATGCAACTGAAGGGAAAACAGCGGGCAAACGCAGGAGCTCAGGATTGCAAGTGTGGGCAGAGCTTGAGGGTGGCTGTGCAGCCTCCAGAAGATGCCCCAGGGCTCTGCAGAAGAGGGAGGGCCTAATGGACCAGACAATAGGGGTCTCTGAAAAACTGCATGAGATCCGCAGGGCTGGAGGGATATGATCAGGGGAGGAGGGAGACAGCGGGGGTGTGTGGGTGATGAGTGTGAGCAGGGAGAGCTCCAAGAGGGTCTGTGCTGCCTGCCTTCCCTGGGCGGGTGGGAGGAGAGGCAGCCCAGCACCTTCTCCATCCAGCATCTTGCGTCTAAAGTTTTTGTGTTCTGAAGCTGTTGAAAAGGTTGGAGAGCCTCTGCTTTGAAATGCAAGATGACTTCTACAGGAAAAATGATCGGATTCCTCCCGACCTCTTGTTCTGGGGAGAAGAGGCAGTATTTTATCACTGCAGCACCGTGTCACCGCCACAGCTAAAACCATCTGAATACTTGCCAGGGTAACAAAGGGAAGATGGAGTGGGGATGACTCAGTCTTGGGTCGTGAAAGACACAGGAAATTGAGACAGTACTCTCTCCCCCCCCCCCCCACAACCTCTCAGCTTGGGAGCCAAGGAGGACTGGCTCTAGCCCGCGCCTCCCAGGGTCCTGTTTAGTCCCCATTCAGCAGACTTTCAGCTGCCAGACCCCATACTAGTCTCCGTTTTCTAGGGACATTCATCCACATAGATACGCTCTCAGACGAGGGAAGCTCTGCTGAGTTAAGACAACATTTAACTATGCATGTTGAGCAAAATGCATTTGTCATGGTAGGAATTCTCAGGGATAGGATGCTAATGAGCCCTCCATGAGCAGGTTGTAGTGTGCAGTGTTTCTTAAGGCCAGACAGGAGTATTTTAAAACACACCTGTCATAAGATGATGGTATGAGGGCTTTGTGGAGATACATGGACTCAACCTGACATTTATTAACCTATTATGAAGAATAACTTTACATAATCATAGTGAACTCCATTCTGTCCTCTAAACCATCCATATAAACACTTGTCCAGCCAACTCTCTATCCATTTACCTAGTCACCTTGATACCCACTTCTCCACCCACCCACTCACCCCATGTCTACCCATCCTTTCATCCCCCACACTCATTCATCCTCATCTAGCTATCTATCATCTACCATCTATCCATCTATCCTCTGTCTACCCATTCACCTACCCATCTGTGTATTCCTGTACCACTCACTCACTCTCCACACCCATCTGTCCATCCTCCCTCTCCACACCCATCTGTCCATCCTCCCTCTCCACACCCATCTGTCCATCCATCCTCCCTCTACCTAGCCACCTGTATCAATCACCTGTATCAACCCCTCCATCTTCCCATTTACCCATGTATTTGTCATCTGTGTATCCAAGCAAGCAGCCACCCGGACAGCAAGCAGGGGCCAGATGGAGATTTCCATACCAGGGTACAGAGCTACTTAGACTTTGGCAGCTCTGAAGGTACACAGGGGGAAATTCTAGTCTCATACAAGACCACCTCCCCGATACAGACATCCACACTCTGAATGGAAAGTGGTTTTTATCCTTGGGGGGGGGGGAACCTAGAAGCTCTGAGAGGGAGAAAACAGGTCTCCGTAGGGGACCTGAGGGCTTTTGTGGAGGAGGGGGCATTTGACCTGGAGGGGGATTTGTACACCAAGAGGTGGAAGCTGGAGCCAGAGATCCTAAGAGGCCAGGGCTTTAACAGCAGAGGCTGAGAGCCATCCTGCTCCCCCCCCCCCTTCCCCGAGTGTGCTTGGCAGTCATGACTACAGCAGGATAAGGAGCTGCTGTGCAGCTGCCTCATTACTGACAGGACCGTGGCTAACGAGGCCTCATTCTCCCACCGCATGCCTTTCCCTTGGTGCTGGCTTTAGGGTACTTAGTCCCATTAGACCTGGAGGCTGAAATGTGTTTTTGATCACCGCATCCACAGATTACACTCCCTGAAACCTCCTTCAGCTTCATGCAGGGTGAGCCATATCCGGCATGATACACCTTTCTTTCACTCGGGCCCCAGATGCTGATTTTCCAGAACATTCTACCAAGGGCAGCACACTTGATCAGGTCCCCAGACACATTTGGGGGAGCAAGCTGTTTGCACAGGTCTATGCATAGCATAGTTGGAGGGTAGTGTCCTTGCGTGTAGGCGGCAGGGGTAGGGCTGCACAGCGAGACACGTGACCCCTACAGGATCTGTTCTAATCAAGGAAGGCACACAATGAGCTACCAACTCGCTAATAAGATATTCTATGCTGTGACCAAGGCTCGGGGGAAATAATCAGAGCATGAGCCAGAAGGCAGTATCAAAGAACTACAATTTAAGAATGTCTAGTCAGGGCGGCTCTCCTGGGGGGGGGTGACATCTGAGCTGAAACACAAGAACTAAGAAGGGGCCACCAAGAAAGGTTAGGAGAGGGACAGTCATAAGTGCAAAGGGCCTGAGGTAGAGGGGAGAGTGGAGAGGTCGCTATGGCTGCAGGCTGTAAATCATAGTGGGGAAATGTGTTAGCGAGTCCCATAAGGTGAGCAAGAGACCAAATCCCACAGGGCTGGGGACTGTGGGAGGGAAGGTTTTATTTGAGGTGCTGTGGAAATCTGCTAGAGGGTTGTGGTCATCTGTGATCACGTGGGAAGAGAGTCTTGAGGGACTGTGTAGATCAAGCTAGCCTGGGCATGCCTGTGAGAGATCTTCATTATTAACTGATACAGGAGAGCTCAGCCCACCGTGGGTGACACCATTCCCTGGATTTGGGCCCTGGACTGCGTGAGTGGAGACAGTGAGCTGAGCACTAAGTGTGTAATCATTTCTTTCTGCTCTTGGCTGTGGACATGACTAGCTTTTTCAAACTCCTGCCTTGACTTCCCCACTGTGACAGACCGTAGCTTGGAATTGTAAACTCATATAAAGACTCTGAGCTGCTTTTGCCAGGGTGTTTCATCACAGCAGGGGCGGTGAAGCTAAGGTCAAGGGTGAATGTCTCTGCTCCACTTGGACATCTTTCTCTTGTCTACTAAATGAGACAGTTCTGAGGGTGGAGGAAAATCTGGAGCTAGTGGGGTTTTGGTACCATCTCTGTGGATGGGGGGGGGTGTCCCATGGGACAAGGCAAGGCATCAGCGAATAAAGGGTAGAGGAAAATGGGACCTGTTGTCCAGGCAAAGTAGGCATGATTTGAGGAGAAACTGGACATGGCATAGGAGATAGGAGATGGATATGCTTTAGGTGTGTGGCCAGGACATGGCATCCAGGCTTGGGGAAAATGGAAGAAGCAGGCATGAGGAAGGAGTCAGAGTTCTCCCGTGATCTCACTGAAGAAAAGATGCACTGAGCCATCGAGACAGTTGTGAATGCTTCTGTATCTGGTGGAGGGGGGTTGGGAAGAGAAATGGACTGATCAGAGTCTATAGGTGGTAAGGTGAGGTGAGGTGGTGAGGTGAGGTGGTGAGGTGAGGTGAGGTGATGAGGTGAGGTGAGGTGAGGTGGTGAGGTGAGGTGAGGTGATGAGGTGAGGTGAGATGAGGTGAGGTGAGGTGAGGTGAGGTGATGAGGTGAGGTGAGGTGAGGTGGTGAGGTGAGGTGAGGTAATGAGGTGAGGTGAGGTGATGAGGTGAGGTGATGAGGTGAGGTGAGGTGATGAGGTGAGGTGGTGAGGTGAGGTGATGAGGTGAGGTGAGGTGAGGTGGTGAGGTGAGGTGAGGTGAGGAGGTGAGGTGAGGTGAGGTGAGGAGGTGAGGTGATGAGGTGAGGTGGTGAGGTGAGGTGAGGTGATGAGGTGAGGTGGTGAGGTGAAGTGAGGAGGTGAGGTGAGATGAGGTGAGGTGAGGTGATGAGGTGAGGTGAGGTGAGGTGAGGTGAGGTGAGGTGATGAGGTGAGGTGAGGTGAGGTGATGAGGTGAGGTGAGGTGATGAGGTGAGGTGAGGTGAGGTGAGGTGAGGTGAGGTGAGGTGATGAGGTGAGGTGATGAGGTGAGGTGAGGTGATGAGGTGAGGTGAGGTGAGGAGGTGAGGTGAGGTGAGGTGAGGTGATGAGGTGAGGTGAGGTGATGAGGTGAGGTGAGGAGGTGAGGTGAGGTGAGGTGAGGTGATGAGGTGAGGTGAGGTGATGAGGTGAGGTGAGGTGAGGTGATGAGGTGAGGTGAGGTGATGAGGTGAGGTGAGGTGAGGTGAGGTGAGGTGATGAGGTGAGGTGAGGTAAGGAGGTGAGGTGATGAGGTGAGGTGAGGTGAGGTGAGGTGATGAGGTGAGGTGAGGTGAGGAGGTGAGGTGAGGTGAGGTGAGGAGGTGAGGTGAGGTGAGGTGATGAGGTGAGGTGAGGTGATGAGGTGAGGTGAGGTGAGGTGAGGTGATGAGGTGAGGTGAGGTGAGGTGAGGTGATGAGGTGAGGTGAGGTGAGGTGAGGTGATGAGGTGAGGTGAGGTGAGGAGGTGAGGTGAGGTGAGGTGAGGAGGTGAGGTGATGAGGTGAGGTGAGGTGAGGTGAGGTGAGGTGATGAGGTGAGGTGAGGTGAGGAGGTGAGGTGAGGTGAGGTGATGAGGTGAGGTGATGAGGTGAGGTGAGGTGAGGTGATGAGGTGAGGTGAGGTGAGGTGAGGTGGCAGACACAGCACTACATGTCTGGATCGGCTATGCCTGGCCTGGCCTACTATGGCCTCTACTGACCTGAGCCAGCGGCCTCCATGCCTGTTTCTCCTGATTTACTTCAGACCACTTTCAACACAAAGTCTTGAGCAGCCAGGAGGCCTTGGTAGTGGTTGGGTCAGAATTCCAGGACCCCAGGGTGGCGAGGCGAAAGGCGTTAGGGTGGCTGTACCAGAGTGACTTTAGCGCCAGGCAGACAGGGACTAGTCTGAGCTTCGCCTCTGACTGCTGAGTGACCTTGGGCAAGGAGACAGACCTCTCTGTCCCTGTTTGTCTCTTTTCAATGGGTTGTGTGAGGACAAGATGATTCTAGGGCCCTTTGGCAGGTGCCGGGTAAATACCAGCTTTTGCCTCCCCAGCACACGCACTGATTAAAAGCTCAGGCTGGCCGTTGTTTATGTCTTTGATTAATTGAACAATTGGGAAACAAATTAATTATCACTTAATGGAGGCGGTTTGGACGACACAATCTTTGCAAACACAAGGCCCGGCAGGAGGGAGAACAAAGACGAGCCTGGGCTGTGTGGATGCAAACCGCTCAAGCAGAAAAGCTTCCAGGACTGTCTCATCCCGGGGAATATGCAGAAGGTGGCTCCCTGCAGATAAATGTTGACTTATGGTTTGAGTGGCTTATTATATGTCACCGTGCCTCCAGTGACAGCCTGGTGATCGCTCTGGTGTCACCTATGTGGAGATTATCCAAGATTAGGAAAGCAGGGGGAGCCTTGGGCTGGAGTCTCAGCCATGTGGCCATGGTTGCCATCATTCAGGTAAAATGTGCCTCTGCCGCTGGTCCCCACGGTCTCCACTGGCCTGCTGTCCTGGAGCCTGATGAGGACAGCAGCGGCTGCGGGCATCAAAACCTGCAGCAGCATCCCACGCAGGCTCTGGTGGAGGCCCCTGGCTGGTCAGGAGCCACTAGGCCACAAACCATCAGAGCGTTTGACTCCTTATCTGTTTCCAGGGACAGTTCCCAGTGTGGACTCGGGGTGAGAGCCCTATCCTACCATGTCTCCTGCTTCCTGAGGCCTGATGTTCCAAAACATCTATCTTCCCCCGGTGCAAAGACACCGTAGGGGCTCACGGGTTCCACCTCTACGTCTGCCCTTTCCGAGTCTGAGCAGCCAGTGCAGACTCTGTCTCTCCTAGATGGGTTTCCTCCTCTTCTTCTACTTTGTTTTTGTTTTCCGGCTAGCCAGGAACTTAGAAACAGACATCCCGCCTTTCTCCTGAGTACTGGGAAGTCAGGCACATGACACAACCACCTCATTTGTTTGGCGCTGGGCAAACCCAGGGCCTCATGCATTCAAGGCAAGCACTCTATAATTGAGCCTTGCTTGTCCACTTTTACATAAAAAAAAAAAAAACTTTGCTGAAAATTTATGCTAAGGATGTAGAAAATCTCCAACGATTTCAGAGCTGACATTTTGACTTTATAATCGTCAGTATTGACTATGTTGTATTGAGTGAGTGGTACAAATGGCAGAAGTATATTTAGGGCCATTTCAGAACCTGTTGGAAATTCTTCCCGACTCCATTATAAACCTCCCCTTGGGGCTGGAGTGGCTCTTGCAGATGACGTGGGTTCTATCCCCAGCACTCACATGGCAGCTCATGACCTTTTTAACAGATCCCAGGGGATC